CGGAGCTTCCTTACCTTATTCTTGAGCTTCACTTCTTAATTCTTCGATGGAGTGATTCTAGTGTGAGAGAGCAGGGTGAGAAGCAGGCAAGAATCGATTCTGAAGTGATTCTAGTAGTGACTGACGGGAAGCTTAGGGAGCAACGGAGAGCATATTTTAGCTTCCAGCTTATATAGTATAAATGAAGAAACTCGACCTGTGGTAGGAAGACAGACTCAAGATATTGCATTAAAAAGAAGACTTTCTAACGTAGCTAAAAAAACACCTGTACTGAACCCCTACCCCACCATACATAGTGGCACCATAACCCCTGTGACAACGATCATGACCGAGGCCGGACTTTAGACCTATGCTTTTGTAGTAGGACAGATAAGGGACATTTTTAATAGCAGCCTTAAAAATCCGCTCCCACGGAGAGTCCAATTGGCTCGTCAACTCCCCAATAGAATCCAGGTGTATTTTAAATGTTTGGCAGGTATCGGTAGAATCGGCTCTAAACAAGCTAGGAGCGAAGTTCTATCAAACTTTATTTAGAACTTTTGGAGGGACCACTATCGATGTTCCAACGTGAAAGTGTGCCACGTGGAGTGGTATAAAAGTAACTCAAAAGCCAAGATACAATCAGCTCATTTTAGCGAGCGTCATTATATTGTGCTTATTTCTGAAAGTCACTCGTGACACAAATTAAAAGGAGTGCAAGTGTGCACGTTTGGCCAACGTCGATTATTGATTGGACGACAGGTGGAAGCATACTATACATGCATGTCCACCTGAAAATGTGGTGGCGAATGTGAAGATGCCTTGCCAAGTCCGGCCTTATTCATCAAGCCAAGCGAGACAACAAGTTCTAGTATGACTGGACACTCTCAACAGGCTTGGGCATGGGCTCATCTCGCAGGAAGTGCTCGAAGAGCTTCAGGCCCTGCCGTGGACGGTGGAGGGGAACCTCGTGCCCTGCACCTCGGATCGTCACCAGCGTCAAACCCTCGTACACTTGGCACCATCCACCAACCTGCAGATAAGCATGATCCACACCATTATAAACATGGTTAGTGTATGTAGCTGAGAGAGTAATTGGACTGTCAGATTTGATGCAGTGCTGGTGTCCTAGACTGACCTCTTCATCATAGTACCAAGGATACCACTTTGTGATCGTTGGTAGAGACAGCGCATCAATGGAGTATCTTGTCGCAGTGAGGGGGACGACAGAGTCAGTATCGCCGCTGTAAATTGTCCAGTGTAAGGGAAGATTAAAATCCAGACTCATTTACCAATCCACTGTACTACTCAAAGGCAAGCCATGCTCTCAACGACAGAAATCCAATGTACCTAAAGACCCATATCCTTAGGCCTGCTGAGATAAGTTCACGGTAAATAGGAAGCATGGACCTCGGTGAATCTTTCCAATATTCATATACTGGGTCACTGCAAATATTCAGTGGAGTTGAGTGCAAATTATCATGCACGACCTAAAATTAAACAAGATGAAAGCAGTTGAGCAGACCTGCAGCCTATCCAGGGATATGATATTCCAGTAACATTGGCATGGAAAGCTTCCTGCACCTCAGGTAAGTTGTAGTAGTTTGTGAAGTACAGTTCGGTGCAGGGATCATATCCTCTGGGCAACCAAGGCTACATTTGAACAAATGTGTAGTTAATATGCATGAGCTGATAATAAATCTAGAGATTCTCACAGTAATCAAAAAAATTTAGCCTTTAATTTGCTACACTCTAATCATAATCGTCAATAATAGCCATTGGATATTCTTTTACATAAAGAGGTTCTCTACCATTATAAAAGTACATAAATTTAAATAACCCCCGCTTTGTATCTACATTACCTAACTACACTATTATAAAGGATAATATAAAATATATAATTAATTTACATCTCAACCACATATATCGTAAATCAAATATAAAGCAAACTTGTTAGACTATATTTAGGCGTTGATCTAGTATTGAGGAGGCAGTCTCTTGGCTCAACAATTAGCTAGGCATGCAGGATCTCATGCACAGGCCCAGGTCTCTCGGCTCTCTACCATTGGCTAGAATTAGTTCCAATCTCCGTATTACCTTCCTTGTAATACATATTTGCCTAACTGACCAATGGAATGAAAATTGTGTGAATTATATCTCGCTTTCATGGTATCTACGAGCGGTTCGCTCCTGAGACCGTCGCTTCCGCACCTCTAACATCGCCGCCGGCCTCACGCCGTGCGTGCATTCCTACCGCCGCCGGACTCACGCCGTGCGTGCGTCCCTACCACCGCCGCCTCTCTCTTCCGGCATGCTCTTTCTTCCTCTCGCCATGGCCTCCGCTTCCCAGGGACCGTCTCATGCCGCGTCCCTGGAAACTGCCGCCATCGCGGCAGCGCGCGCCGACCTTGCCGGTCTCCAGGTTGCCAAGGCGGACGCGGCCATCATCAAGGCGGCCGAGGATGTCGTCCAACGCCTGGAGGATCTCCGCGCCACTCGGGCACAGCTCGACGCCGACTTGCAATTCGCCCATGCCGGGCTGTGCAGACCTTACGGCTGTGCCCAGGTCTCTCGGCTCTCTACCATTGGCTAGGATTAGTTTCAATCTCCGTATTAGCTTCCTTTGTTGTAATACATATTTGCCTAAATGGCCAATGGAATAAATATTGCGTGAATTATATCTTGCGTTCAAAACTAAGCCCTAAATAAGTTTTTACATTACCCACATATGCCGCCTTTATGAAAGATAATATAAAATAAGACCCTTAATTTGTACCCAAAGTACCAACTTCCATCGTTATAAAAGTAACCTAAAATATCACCAAGTCTATGCCAAAAGGCCAATAAAAGCTATTTTGGAAAATAATTCAATCAATAACCATAAAGTATATTTTGTATGTTTCTAAATTACACACTTTTATCGTCGTTAAATTAAAAGTAAGCATAAATTCTATGTGCCACCGACCGAGTAAACAAGCATACGTGAGGATAGATATTTATTTTAGTAGTTTACCAATTGTGAAAAAATGTTCCCTTAACAAACAACATACCAATCACACTGACAACTCACTTTAAATTATATTAATAATCATCTATGATAATAATTTTTTGTAAGTTGTTTAAGTTATATATAAGTGACCAGAACATTATGACATATCAAGTACTGCTAATTTAATTCTAGGTACTCTCTATTTTTATATAGTAGTATTACAACAATTGTGATTCTTCATTCTAGCAAATTCAATGTCTTGAGTATTGTGGTGCATGCTAAAATGGTTGTTTATGCCATTTAGTAACAAAGAATGTACTCCCTCCATTCCAAATTGTATGTTGTTTTGATTTTTAGATGCATAGCTTTTACTATGCATCTAGATATAGTCTATAACTATAATATATATTTTTAAATAAAATATAAGAATTTTTTTGAATAAAAGATACATTAACCACTAGAGTCACAACTTAACACGTGGAAAAATTGCTACAACTAATAAGATCACAAGTGAAAGCCAAAATATAGATTTGTAATCTCACAAAATGGGATGCAACAAGACCTTATATAACTTAACCTTACTCATAGAGGTGCAATACAAAAGATGACAACATATATCTTAATGTTGCTAACTAGAGGTCCACAATGAAGGCGCACTATAAAAAAATAAAAGCTTAGAAATTATCATAATAATAAGAAACATATATTATTAATACAATCAATTTTAAACATCATAAAAAAATAACGACTGGATATATTTTATTTTCTAAACAAATGTCCACTATTGTTATAATGAAAAACATAAATCATCATCTAAACTACATATAAACCACAAACCTCTGCCTGTATGAAAGATAGTTTAAACTAACCTCTAAATTTATTTTAAATTACACGCATCTAACCTTATGAAAGATAATATAAAGTAACCCTTTAATTAGCATCTAAATTACCTACATCTGTCATTGCAAAAACATAAACTAACATATCTCTCAAATGAATATCTAAATTAATGATGTAAGATATTATGGAAAAAATTAATAACCATAAAGTGCACAATGTATGTTTCTAAATTACCTAGTTAAACCACTATTAAATTCAAAGTAAATATATATATGCTATGTGTCACAATGTATACCAAGTATACATGATACATTAGTCGTAAATACATATTTTTATAGTTTATCGATCGTGAAAAGAATGTTCCCTTAACAAACCACATACTAATGAAATTGGCATTTAATTTAAGTTATATCAAAACTCTATGACAACAAATTGAGTAAGTTATTGTTTTAGATAATTTTATACATTTTGACTAAAACATTATGACATGTTAGTGATGGTATTTTAATAGTAACCATCTTACTTCTATTTTATAAAACAATACTACTGCACATATGGTTCTTTGAGAGAGGAAATTCAACTCTTGAGTGCAGTGGTGAAGGCTAAAATAACTATTCACGCCATTATAGTAACTAAGAGTGGAGTCTAAGACCTAGATTTTTTTTAATAAAATATAAAATGAAGTTTTGAATGAAAGATACAACAAGAACTAAAGTTTTGAACTTAACATTTGGATAAAAACAGATTAATAAGATCGATAGTTCAAAGCCAAAATATATGTTCATAATGTCACAAAAGATGCAAAAAGTCGATACAACTTAAGCTAATGTTTCAACTAAATATATATTAAAAACACACAATGGTGCAATGCAAAGAATGAAAATACATATACAATAATCGGTAAAGCTATCACTATCGAGTAGAGATTACATAGTATTTGAATGGGTATTGTGTTCTAAAATGGAGAGAGAGAATAAATACAATTAACTTTGATTGGCTGTACACAATAAATTTATCCACAAAATATTTAATGCTTATGCAACTTAACATTCTAGGCCATGTAGGAGCACATATTGATGAGCTACTGTTAATAATATAGTAGATAGTCAAAAAAAAATTAGGGAGAATTCAGTATACAATACTACCATTAGCTATAAGGAAACCGTAAATTTTTGTAGCAACTCAAACATACCATTCTTCCCCTTATTAGCCTGCGCTTATCCAATGAACTCTTCTTACAAGTAGGCGTGTAGAGACTGTAGAAATCAATATTCCCTTGCTCATCATAGGCAACTTCATAGATCTTTTGACATTCCTCAGAGGGGTGCTCAGCCACATCGTATTTACAGGTCGACCACAACTTCGCATAAGTTTCATCGGAGATAAGCCCATGTGTCCACCAATACTCAAATGTGCCCATGTAGTCATGGTAATCGTCAGTTACCGCATTTCCAACCTAGAGCATTGACCGAACACTTGGTTATTTCTAACTAGAAATGAACAAACTAATTAAGGGAGCATAAAGCAATCTAAGCTCAAGAAGTTCTAACCATGAAACCTTTGAAGTTTAGGGTTGGATTCTCAGTTCCTTTATTGTTTCGATACACTACCCGAGACAGTTGAGGGACATAGTGGCCTGAAAAAGAATCATTGCAACAAATTATGCTGGAGGTACGTATATCTGATCTCTTTTTTTGTGACAAAGAGCTTCTATTGATCATATAGAAACATGGTTACAATCTTCAATCAACAGATTGAGAATACAGGATGGGGCTGATTGCCATTCTCCCATCCTGCTATCATATGAGACTTGCTTAGCCAAGGTATGAGCTACTTGGTTACAAGACTGATTGGTGTACACTAGTGAAAAATTAACAATGTTGGAGATGATGGACATCCCGAGAGCTTGCATTTCACTGATTTTGAGGGATATTAGAGCTCTTAGTGCTGGAGTGAAGATGTGGGAGACGATGGACATCCAGAGAGCTTGCATTTCACCGATTTTGAGGTATATTAGAGCTCTTAGTGCTGGTTTTGTTAATTTTTCACTAGTGTACACCAATCGGTCTTGTAACCAAGTAGCTCATACCTTGGCTAAGCAAGTCTCAGATGATAGCAGGATGGGAGAGTAACAATCAGCCCCATCCTGTATTCTCAATCTGTTGACTGAAGATTGTAATCCTGTTTCTATATGATCAATAGAAGCTCTTTGTCACAAAAAAAGAGCTCTAGATACCACTAGTTGCATAATCTGTATCACATATAGAGTTGGCAATTTTTTATGGTAGTTCACCTGCATAGCTCTCTCCGGCAATGTAGAAATCACGATACTTATACTGCGGGAACCGATCCAACCAATTTATCAAGAAAGCATACGAGTCATGAGCTGCACAACATTAGCAAGAAACATCCATAAGAGCAAGAACAACAAGACTTGTGAAAGTGGAAAGTATTTTGGAGAATCAAACTCATTTATCATCCATATTGGAACATGTATATATACACAATGTATAGATTTGTTTATAGGTTGTTGAGATATCAGTGTCATGCAACAGGACACAACAAATTACTAAAACTCCTACTTGTCAGTAGGTCTGTTTCCACGTGTGCCTTGATTGTGTCCGACGGGGAACAATAGCATGTAGGAATGAAAATTTGTTTTTTCTTGGTACATTAATCCAACAAAAGGTATAACTTTGAGATGTTATGCACTAGCTAGAGAATGTGTATTGTCACTTAGCTTGAGATGTTAGTTACTTTTAAAGCTATCATGCAACATACTAATATAAGAGGAAGACAAAGTGTGTATTAAAGTTGTAGAGCTCGAAGATATTTAAAACCTTTTAGTTTGTGACTTTTTCATTCAAAATCATTTAAAGTTTAAAAATTATGTTTCAAGTTCTCAGAATTTTAAATTATTATTTTTTTCGAACGAACTCGGATGGAGATACGACAAACCAAAGTTGTAGTACTCAACTAGATCTAAAACTTTTCAGGTTAAAATTTTTTCAGTTAAAATTAGGGTCTCAAATATTCATTACAAGATTCACTAAAGTGAATACAAAAGCAAAGAATCGTCATTTCGTCACCTGTCTTGTTGTCACCGGCAGCGTACAGATCATTGGTTGTGTTGGTGTAGGAGTAGCCGACGCCGGCTGGCGAGTCCAAGAACAGCACGTTCGCCACTGCAAGCAAACCAATCCATCCATCGCCACCATGACAAACATATATAAATAATATATAATATAAGCTAGCTTTACTGAAAAAATAAAAGAGAGGCATCGAAACTGGACCTTTGTTCCATGCATAGGGATTCAAGGAGAGCGTCGCGCCGTCGGGGTTGACGCGGAAGGCGCCGAGCTCCTCCATAGCGCCGTAGCCTACAGAGGAGCACCCGGGCCCGCCATTGAGCCAGAGCACGAGCGGCGCCGAGTCCGCCGGCACGCCGGAGGCTTCCATGAGCCAGTAGAAGAGCGCCCGCCCCGCGGCCGCGTCGACGGTGACGTAGCCGGAGTACATGGAGAAGTTGACCGGCGGCTGGCCCGGCAGCCTGTCGATGCGGTCTGACTCCGCCGCTGCCGTCACCGTCGTGGTGGTGGCTGCAGTGGTGGCGGACGCGGCACAGCAGCAGCAGGACATCGCCAGTATGGCGGCCAGGACAGTGGCGGCCGCCATTGGCGCTGGGATGGGAGTGTGCTGGACTGGTTGGGGAGAAGAGCTGCAGAGCAACAACACTTGTACGAGGAGTGGACACTGGACAGTGAAGGCCTAGATGCATGGATTTATGGAGGCCAGGAGCAAGTGAGCCAATTATGGCGCCGCCAGGCAGGGGAAGCCTCGTGGAAAGCATGCACAGGTGGTTGGTTGGGTCTTGTGGCCTTGCTGTTTCGTTATCTCGATTCTGAATGATTGCCATGATTCTTTCCGTACGTATACGTATCCTTATAGATGAACATTCGTGCCGCCCGTCTCGACCCAGCACGGCCCATGCTAGGCATGGCCTGCTGGCACCGGGCTAGGCACGGCACGCCGGGCCGCCGGACCATGTCGAACTGGGCATCGTGCCTGGCCAACGGTCTAGGCACGGCACTATGGACTCTTTTTGTGTCGGTCCGGCCAAGAAAGCACGGCCAAACTGACGGGTCAGGCCAACCCAAGGCCTATTGAATGTCGACGGAGAGAAAGAGAAAGAGAGGGGGAAGGGGAGGCCGGGGCGGCAAGGCCGCAGCTACGTGAGGTTGCGAGCCGCAGGAGGTCCTTCAGCACGGTTGAGGCGATCCTTCATCGTAGATCCGCGGAGGACACGCTACTGCGAGGAGGCATGGAGCAAGGACGGCGGCGGTTGGGAGTCATGCAGCGCAGTAGAGACGAGGGGTGGAGAGGTGGATGGCGGGTGTCACCGTGCATCCACGCTTACCGTCGAGGCTCAAGGACGAGGCACCGTGAGTCCTTGACACGAGTTTGGTGGGGTTGCCATGTGCGTGCCATGGCGGGGGGCGTGGTAGGGGATGGGGAGGAGGGGTCGATAGAGCGTAAAATGTCATTAAACTTGGAGTGAAGTTGGTTCTGGGTGCTGGCCGGGGCCTTCTTGGATCTCTTCTTCACCAGGTATTATATTATTTACCAAGTCGTGTCTAGCCACACAGCGTGCCTAGGGCCCTTTGTATCGGGCCGTGCTTTGGGCCGGGTCAAAAAAAACAGACTTCGTGCCGGGGCACCGGGCTGCGGCCTACATGCACGTCTTCACGTATACTGGGCCATGCCCGCTTCCTTGCCAAGACAGACGACAGTTCCGCATGCAAATTCGAACGTGCATGAAAGAGAGGATATAGAGGGACGAGGACGAAGGTTGGCGACGATTTGCAGCGTCGCGCGGAGCGGTACGTACGCCCTTCCCACTATCTACGCGGCACTGATGCAACGCGCCGCATGTGGATTTGTGTGGGGTCATCTGATATCGTACGTACGTCGACGTGAGTGATGATCACTGCGCCAGATTCTTACAGCAGGAACGGAGATATTTTTACTGTAGGGGCGGCTGGAGTTGGAGGCGCTCCTACAGTGGGTGTCCTCGGGCCCAGCAGCCCAGCCACTCCTACAGATGGAACTGTAGGGGTGGCTGGTAACTTGAGTCGCCCCTAATGTTGAAGCTGATCTGTAGGGGCGGCTCAATCACCAGCCGTCCTTGTAGTGCCCACTTGTCTTTTTTCAAATTTTAAATTTGAAAGGTTTAAATTTAGTCAAATAATAAGATAATCAAGATAAAAGTTGTAGATCTTGATGAGTTGAACAACTTTTGTATTCATCACTTTTATATATGAAATCATTTAGGGTTTGAAAATTTGGTTTGAACTTGTCAAATTTCAAATTTCAAATTTTAAAATATGTAAAACATTATCACATCCAAGTTTGATCAAACTTAAATGCTGAAGCATGATTTTAGAAATTTTTAGAAAAAAAAACCATCACATTTGGAGTTAGTACGAGGAAGAACAACTAGTTACAAAAGTTACCCACAGATTAAAAAGAGAAATCACACTGTTCTAGATGATCCTTATATGATCATAGTAAACAGTGTGATTTCTTTTTTTAATCTGTAGGTCAACTTTATAACTAGTGTTTCTTCCTCGTACTAACTCCAAATCTGATGATTTTTTTCTAAAATTTTCTAAAATCATTCTTTATCAATTTATTTTGTTGGTTTTATCGATATATACGTATGAAAAGTTTGAGTAATTTAAATTTTGAATTTAAAAAAAATGCAACTTCAGACAAGATTTTGGTTCCCCAAATGATTTCAGCTGAAAAGTGATAAATACCAAAGTTGAATAACTCATCAAGATCTACAACTTTTGTATTGGTCATTTCTTCATATGACAAAGTGGTAACGACATTATTCACAAATGTGACACATCTCTCATAAGGTTTTATAAACTATATGAGATATGTATAAGATTAGTGAACAATGTGTGCTAAGAATTTGTCAAATGAAGAAATGATCAAAATAAAAGATGTAGATATTCATGAGTTGAACAACTTTGGTATTCATCGCTTTTTATGTTGAAATCAATTTGGGTCTCAAATTTTGGTTCGAACTTGTCGTTTTTCAAAAATTCCAATTTGAAATATTCAAATTTTGTCAAATGATAAGATGACTAAAATAAAAGTTGTAGATATTAATGAGTTGAACAACTTTGGTATTCATCACTTTTTATGTTGAAATCATTTTGGGTCTCAAATTTTGGTTCAAACTTATCATTTTTTAAAATTTCAAATTTGAAAGGTTCAAATTTTGTCAAATGACAAGATGACCAAAATAAAAGTTGTAGATCTTCATGACCTCTACAACTTTGATGTTTATCAAATTTTCATTTGAGATCATTTGGTGTCTCAAAATTATTTTAGTAGTTTTGATTTTAATTTTTTAAAATATAAATTTTTTTCCCAAATTATTTCGACCGTTCGATCTCCACAACCGACGACACAGATCTCTTGGATCGGATTCTACCGGAAGCTGATTCTCCTGCTTCGCCTTACGTTATTCGGCTTCTGCTCAGCTTTTTTCTTGCTTCTCCCGCTTCTCGTCGGAATCCACCCAAACAAATATATACTCAGCTTCGTCTTCTCCTTCACGAAGCTTCTCTTCCCCTCCTCTCTCTCGTGTTCGCTCTCTCTTGCTCTCCCTCTCCGACACGGGCAGGGGGCCACGGCGGGCGCGAGCGTCCGCGCCGACGGCTGGCGTGACGACGGCGGCCACCATCCTCCTCCTACGTAGCCCTCCCTCGCCTGCCTCTCATCTCCGTCTCTCCCGCCCTTTCCTCTCTCTCTCTCTCTCTCTCCTTCCCTCTCCAACTGCCGCCTGCTGCGAGGTGGCCCCCTCCCTCTCCTACATCCTACGCGCGCAGCTCGTCAATGCTAGGTTCATCCACCGCCGTTCCACCGCCTCCTCCATCGTCTCCCTGACCCCAACAGCCGCCCCCGCCCCATCCACCGCCATTCCCCAGGCCGCGACGGCGGCTAGGGTTTGGGAGCGCTCGCCCGTGGCCGGCTGCCCCGTCTCGGACCTTGACCTCGACCTCCGTCCTTGCCGGGCCGGCTAGGGTTTGGGAGAGCTCCTCAGCGCGGCCCGTCCGTCTGCTCCCCCGGCGTGCGGCTAGGGTTCGTCGTGCGGCTGCCCCCGCCCCATCCTCACCATCCTCTCCGACCTCGACGCCATCTCTCTAGGGTTACCGCTCCGTTTCGTGCCATTCACCGCGTATATATCCCCATCCCCGCCGTCTCCCTTCTCAATTGCTCACCATTCGCTTAGCTCCGGCAGCAGGTGCTCATCCCCTCTGTTCATCTTTTTTCCTTTTTTCCAGTGTTTGTCATTGATTCAAGCCGGCCTAATCCCCTCCCTCTGTGGTTGTTTTCCAGGCGCTATGGATCTGAGTTCTTGAACAAGCAAGTGAATTTGGTTCTCCCCATCGCCCCTCCCTCTATTTTGTTCATCTTGTAACCCTAGGTTCTTGGGGAATAGGTCGATCCCTAATTATTTCGTCTCATACTTGATGCAGGCACAACAGATCTGTCATCCCTTGTTTGTTCATCTGCTTTTGATTGTGGTGCTATCACCACATCTGTTCGGTATAAGCAATCCTCCTCTTTTGAACCCTCCCCTCCTCCCTATTCTGATTATTGTAGTAGTACTTGATGGATGATGTCGGTGCTGTCTAGATCTATGAATGAAATATATTTCTGAGCTCATGTCCAAGTCAATGATGTTGCTATTTTTGCTCTGAGCATTTGTCCAATGCCAATGATAATTTGTCCATGCTTTTCTTGATTTCTTTCAGTAAATCTGAGCACTGTCCAATACCAAAGATTTTTGTCTATGCCTTGGATGTTTGTTTTCAGTTAATCTGAGCACTTGTTCAATGTCAATGATGTCTTTCATATAGTACTAAAGATTGAACAGTAAGCATTGGTTGTTGTTTACCTTGTCTAGGAAATAAAACACACCCTTATTTTCATAGCTTTGTTGTGTTGTTGTGCTCATTGCACCTGTGTTGCTTTGGTAGATGGCTTTGGAGGACCAGCGACGACTGTTGATTGCTCAGGCCGCTGCTCTTATCACTGCTATGTATGCACTCTTGTTTAGTAGGCTTAGAATGCAACATGATTCAAGGCCTCATATCACTTACGGTCCTTTGAGAATCATGGATGAGGAAAGGCAAAAAAACTTGGATTTAATTTACAACTGCAATGATATAGTGTGTCAACATGCTTCGTATGAGAAGAGCACCTTTTTTTAAGTTGTGCCAACTGCTTAGAGAAAGAAACTTGCTCACAGATGCTACCTTCCTTGCTGATGCTACCTTCCTTGCTGATGCACTAGAGAGGGAGGATGGGTTAAGGGTTGCACCAGGTAATCAACTACAATGGCTAACTACATAAAATCTACAAATGTATAACACTGAGGCATTGGACTTACGCTATGATGATTTTCATGTGAAAGCAACTGCTACTGTTTCAATAATGTTGAACTATGGTTTTCATGTGAATCGAGGCATTGAACAATGTGCAATGATGATTTATTTTTTATGCTACACTTGATATGAGGCTTTGGACTTATGCTATGATGATTTTTTATGATACTACACTTAAACTGAGGCATTGAACAAATGCAATGATGATTTTTTGTGATACTACATTTGACCTGAGGCTTTGGACATGAGCAATGATGATTATTTGTTTATGTGATACTTTAACTGAGGCTGGAGGCATGTGCAATGATATTTATTTGTTATTGGCTTAATTTACCTGAGGCTGCAGGCATGTACTATGATGTTTATTTGTTACTCTCTTAATTTACCTGAGGTTAGAGACATGTGCAATGATGTTTATTTGATCTTATTACAATCTGAGTGGGGTGTGCCAATTAAACTAGGGGATGGCTGAGGAGATGAATGTTGACATGCTTGCACCTGATGAGCTTGTGTTCCCTGGGATTGGTGCCCCTACTAGGTTTGCTGCTGTTGGGGCTGGTTTGCCTGTTGGGGCTGTGATGTTATTTGTTCAACCAAGGTTGAGGATTCCCACCCAGAGCTGTATGAGGCTGTGATGTTCATGCTTGATTCGCTGATGAGGCCACCTTCTTGACAACAAGCCCCAGGGTACTGCTTTTGTGAACATGAATGCAGATCATTGTGTGCTGTGGCTGAGAACCTTCTTGGCCAAGCACTATTACAACTGAGCTGCTTGCTGGTCCGTTGGTTGATCCATCTTTTGTGCAGTGCCCGCCCTCTTCTGGTGGTATTTTGTATGCATGGTTTGGTGCAGTGGCTGCTCTCTCCTAGTGGATGCATCTGGTCTTCTCTAGTGGCTTCTTTTGTGCATAACTCACTCCTGCTGGGCTTGGTTGTGCAGTCAGCTTACCCATCTCTGTGCAGTTGACATGTTCCTGCATTCTTTTGTGCAGTTAACATGCTACCCTCTACTAACTATGGCTAACTGTGGCTTGTAGTTAGTGACTATATGCCACTACACCGTTGCATTCTTCTTTGGGTCAACCTACCTGATGCTAGTGTGTGTATTTGCCTTGACAGTTTGATCATGTGACCCAGCCATTCATTTGAACATCTTATTGTTAACTCTTCTAAGCATATTACCTGCATTCTTCTGAGGACATGTCTGTTGCCTGTGATGTATTTTCATATAACTGAGCACATGTTTGTTGCCTGTGATGTGTTTTTCATGTAACTAAGCACATGTCTGTTGCCTGTGATGTGTTTTTCATAGAACTGAGCACATGCCTCTTTGCCAATGATGCTTACACATGCCTCCTGGTGGTATTTTTGTTACTACACTTTACTTTTTGTTACTACACTTTATTTTTTCTGCAGCTATGGCATGATATGTTGTTCATCGTAGGAAGGAACCTGGTGTGTACTCTAGCTAGGACAAAGCACATGCTCAAGTCGATGGCTTCCAAGGGTAATTGCTACAAAAAAATCAACTCAAGAGAGGAAGTTTTTCAAGCATTCTATGGCCAAAGACAACATGTGAATCCACCTCAGCTCGAACCTGCTGGACATGATCAGTTTTCTCTGCGGCACAATTCATTTGAAGTTAAAGATGTAATAATCGTAGTCCACTTTCATCCCCTCTTATCTTCTTTACTACCAATAATGATGGACTTTTGTGAATTATGACTTGTGATGATGTTCTAAATAATGGTCTTGTGTTTGTGGATGTATATATGTATATTTGTGGTGGTCATATTCGAATTTGAATTATATATATATGTGGTTAGATTTGAATTTGAATTATTTTTTTTTCTAGAAAATCCACTATAGGGGTTGTTCTTGATTGAACCGCCCTTACAAATACACACAGTAGGGGCGGCTGATGATACAGCCGACCTTACAGAAGTCCACTACAGAGGCGGCTGATATTACCAGCCACCCCTACAGAGGGCACTGTAAGGGCGGCTGAAAACACCAGCCGCCCCTACAGAGGGCACCGCCCCTACAGAGGGCACTGCAGGGGTGGTCAGGAAATCGCCCCTATAGAGGCACCCTCTCTAGGAACACCCTGGGAAGGGCGGCTGGCGTAGCCGCCTCTACAGAAGCTCTAGAGCCACCCCTACAGTTAACTTATGTAGTAGTGGACTGGCCAGCAGCCGATCGAAAGCGAGCGTAGGACGGAGCGAGGCACGGAGCTATCAGCTAATGGCCCCATGTGATCTAGTCGAAAGGACTGTGGGGGGGAGGTTTTGTGATCCGTAGAGTTTCTAGCTCGTGTTTAGTTTGCTGAGTGGCGAGCAATCCTTTGTCATCTTACTAAACTGGAGTCTGATACTTTATTTTACTAGATGCTGCTTAGTTTGTCGAGTTTGCTCTTAGTTTGTTGAGTTTCAACCTGTGAGTTGAGCTTAGTTCGAGTTCTTTTAACTGTGTTGGCCTACGTTGTAAGCTGGTAACCCTAATAGTGGCTATTGGCTTTCGTTAGGCTTCCAATAAAGCTAGGTGAATGTCTTGGGTCTAAAAAATAACAATCTAGCTCCATGTAGTAACTAGTAGCTAGTAAGCATGGAGCTCTCGATCGGTGTTGTGCTGCCAATGGCGTGGCACGCTGCGGACCATGTGGTCCTGACAGGGCGCGTCATAAGGAACAACTAACTAGGTGAAATTTGGACGTAGATTTAGAACGTGAAAGGGTCAAAGGGATACGAAACTTAGACAAAGCAATGGGACAGTCGAGGAGATATTTTTAACCCTCACCTAAAAATTCGCTCACAAGGAGTTGGACCGGAGAACCGATGCTCGTCAACTTCCTACCAAAATCCAATTGCATTTAAAGCGTTTGGTAGACATCCGCAAAATCCGCTCCAAAGAAGCTGGGAGCAGAGCTCTACCAATCTTGCCATTACAACTTCTGGAGCAACCACTATCGATCTTCCAACGTGAAAGTGTGCCAAACTAGGTGCTATAAAAATAACTCGAAAGGAAAGATACAATCAGCTCATTCTAGCGAGTGACATTTTATTCTGCTTATTATTTCAGAAAGTCACTCATGAAACAAATTAAAAGGAGCGCGACGTTTGGCCAACGTCGATTATTGATTGGACAGGTGGAAATATACAACATGCCCACCTGAAAATGTGGTGGCGAATGTGTGAAGATGGATTGCCAAGTCCGGCCTTATTCATCAAGCCAAGCGAGACAACAAATTCTAGTATGACTGAACACTCTCAACAGGCTTGGGCATGGGCTCGTCTCGCAGGAAGTGCTCGAAGAGCTTCAGGCCCTGCCGTGGACGGTGGAGGGGAACCTCGCCCTGCACCTCGGACCATCACCAGCGTCAAACCCTCATACACTTGGCACCATCCACCAACCTGCAGATAAGCATGATCCACACCATTACAGATCGACATGATTAGTGTATGTAGCTGAGAGGGCAATGGGACTGCCAGATTTTTTTTTTTTGAAAGATCGGGACTGCCAGATTTGATGCAGTGGTGGTGTCCCAGACTAACCTCTTCGTCGTAGTACCAAGGATACCACTTTGTGATCGTTGGTAGAGATAGTGCATCAATGGAGTATCTTGAAGCAGTGAGGGGGACGACAGAGTCTGTGTCGCCGCTGCCAAATTAAATTGACCAATGTAATAAGAGAAGATTAAAATCCACACTCATTTATTACCAACTCATTGCGACTGTCAAAGATTTAGGATTCAGAAGAAGCCATGCATGCTCTCAACGATAGAAATCCAATGTACCTGAAGACCCATATCCTTAGGCCCGCCGAGATAAGTTCACGGTAAATAGGAAGCATGGACCTCGGTGAATCTTTCCAATATTCATATATCGGGTCACTGAAAATATTCAGTGGAGTTTAGTGCAAATTATCATGCACGACCGACTTTACTGGTACTCTGGTATTCTAGTGGAATAAAATTAAACAAGATGAAAGCATTTGAGCAGGCCTGCAGCCTATCCACGCATATGGTATTCCAGTAACATTGGCATGGAAAGCTTCCTGCACCTCGGGTAAGTTGTAGTAGTTTGTGAAGTACAGTTCGGTGCACGGATCATATCCTCTGGGCAACCAGGGCTACATTTGAACAAATGTGCAGTTAATATGCATGAGCTGATAAATCTTAGAGAATATCGCAATAATCAGAAACATTTGGCCTTTAATTTGCTCACGCGAACCATACTCATCAATATAACAATTAGATAATCTCTACCTTTTTTTAAAAAAAAAACGCATTTCTACCATTATAAAAAATGCATAAAAGTACATAAAGTAACCTCTACTTTGTATCTACATTATTACCTACCTACACCATTATAAAAGACAATATAAAATGTCTAATTAAATTTACATCTCACCCACATATATCGTTATAAAATATAAAGCAAAGTAAGCCCTAAATTAGTTTTTACTTTACCCACATATGCCTTTATGAAAGATAATATAAAATAAGACCTTTAATTTGTATCTAAATTACCAACTTATGTCGTTATAAAAGTAACCTAAAAATATTGCCAAATCTATGCCGAAATGCTAATAAAACCTATTGTGCAAAATAATTCAATAACCATAAAGTATGCTTTGTATGTTTCTAAATCACACATTATCGTCGTTACATTAAAAGTAAGCATAGACTCTATGTGCCACCGACCAAGTAAACAAGCATAAGTGAGGATAGATATTTATTTTAAAAGATTATCAATTATGGTAAAATATTCCCTTGACAAAAACCGTACCAATGATAATAAATTATGTAAGCTGTTGCTTATCAGTTATATATAAGTTTTGACCAGAACATTAGGACATATCAAATATTGCTGATTTAATTCTAGGTACTCTATGTTTTTACATAGTAATATTACCACAATTATGATTCTTCAGCCTAGCAAATTCAATGTCTTGAGTGTCGTGGTGCAGGCTAAAATGGTTGTTTATATCATTTAATTAGTAACAAAGAATGTACTCCTTTGATTCCAAATTTTAAGTCGGTTTTCTTTTTTAAGTGCATAGCTTTTACTATGCACCTAGATATAGTCCATAACTCTAATATATATGTTTTTAACAAAATGTTAGAATTTTTTTTGAATAAAAGATACAATAAGCACTAAAGTCACAACTTAACATGTGGAAACATTGCTACAACTAATAAGATCACAAGTGACAACCAAAATGTAGATTTGTAATCTCAAAAAATGGGATGCAACAAGACCTTATATAACTTAAGCAAAAGATGACAACATATATCTTAATATTTCTAACCGGAGGTCCACAATGGAACCTCAATATAAAAAATAAAGCTTAGAAATTCTCATAATAACAAGAACCATTTATCTACTAATACACTCAATTTTAACCATCATAAATAATAATAAAAATTCGACATTATTTATTTTCTAAATAAATATCCACTATTGTTGTAATGAAAACATAAATAATCATAAAAACTACATGTAAACCACTAACTAAATACATATTAAAAACACACAGTGGTGCAATGCAAAGAATGAAAATACATATAAAATAATTGGTAAAGCTATCACTACCGAGTAGAGATTATAGAGCATCTAAATGGGTATTATATTACAGATGAGAGAGAGAGAGAGAGAGAGAGTAAAGATAATTATTTTTTATTAGTTATACACACTAAATTTATCCACAAAATATTTAATACTTATGTAACTTAACATTCTAGGCCCATGGAGCACATGTTGATGAGCTACTATGAATAATACAGTAGATAGCTACATAGTCAGAAGAACCTTAGGGAGAATACAATATACAAGACTACCATTAGCTATAAGTGAACCATGAATTTTGGTACCAACTCAAACATACCATTCTTCCCCTTATTTGCCTGCGCTTATGCAATGAAGTCTTCTTACAAGTAGGCGTGTAGATGCTGTATAAATCAATATTCCCTTGCTCGGCCTCGGCAACTTCAGAGATGTTTTGACATTCCTCAAAGGGGTGCTCAGACACATCATATTTACAAGCCTCCCACAACTTCACATAAGTTTCATCGGAGATAAGCCCATGTGTCCACCAATACTCAAATGTGCCCTTGTAGTCATGGTAATCGTCAATTACTGCATTTCCAACCTAGAGCATTGACCAAACACTTGGTTATTTCTGACTAATTAAGGGAGCCTAATACAATATGAGCTCAAGAAGTTCTAACCATGAAGCCTTTGAAGTTTAAGGTTGGATTCTCAATTCCTTTGTTGTTTCGGTACACTACCTGATACAGTTGAGGGACATAGTGGCCTAAAAAATAAACATCACACCAAATTATGTTGGAGGTACGCACATCTAATCTCTAGATACCATTAACTGCACAATCTCTATCACATATGGAGTTAACAAATTTTTATGGTAGTTCACCGGCCTGCATAGCTCTCTCCGGCGATGTAGAAATCACGATACTTATACTGCGGGAACCGCTCCAACCAATTTATCAAGAAAGCATATGAGTCATGAGCTGTAGAACAACATTAGAAAGAAACATCCATAAGAGCAAGAACAACAACACTTGTGAAAAGTATTTTGGAGAATCAAACTCATTTCTCATCGATATTGGAACAAGTATATATACACAACGCATAGATGTGTTTATAGGTTGTTGAGATATCAGTGTCATGCGACAGGACACAACAGATTACTAAATCTCCTATACAAGGAAGACTACTATCTAGGCTGTCAGTAGGTCTGTTTCCATGTGTGCATTGATTGTGTCTGACAGGGAACAACAACATGTAGGAATGAAATATAGTTTTTTCTTGGTACATTAATCCAACAAAAGGTAAATTTTTAAGTTGTTATGCACTAGTGAATGTGTATTTGCACTTAGCTTGATGTATTGGTTTTAAAGCTAGCGTGCAACATACTAATATTGGTTGAAGACAAAGTGTCCATCAAAGTTGTAGAGCTCAAAAAGATTTCCAACTTTGTAGTTGTGTGACTTTTTCATTCGAAATCATGTAAAGTCCAAAATTATGTTTTGAGTTCACAAAGTTTGAAATTCATTTTTTTAATTTTCGAAACGACCTCATATGGAGATATGACAAACCAAAGTTGTAGTACTCGACGAGATCTAAAAAATTTTAGGTTAAACTTTTTTTCAATTGAAATTAGGGTCTCAAGTAATCATTACAAGATTCACTAAAGTGAATACAAAAGCAAAGAAACATCATTTAGTCATAAGTAACTTTGGGGTGTAGTGGTAGGTGAGGTTCACGTGAAATCTTAGGTTGCAAGTTTGATTCCCAACTGCACGCACGCATGGAAATTGTGTGATGGGATTCTTCCGCGAGAGTTTTTTTTTGCTATATATATCCTTGGAGATCAATACAAATACCTTAGGGATCGGCCCTCGAGAAAATATATATGCTTGACAGTTGTTATATTTCCTTGACGCTGTGGAAAATTTCATCTAGTCTTTGTTTCCTTCATGTTGTGAAAAAATATATCATTTGTTACCATCGGCCTTAAGGTAATTGAATTTCCTTTGATCTACTCTTAGTGATCCTTCCTTGAGGGTTGCCAGTCAGGAATAATTCCTTGGTTGTTTTCATAGTTTCTTGAGGTTTTTGGGGCTCTTAAGGCTATTCCGTCTGCTTGTGGTAGTGATTGAGGTTTTGGAACGTGTACATGCGACATATAGATCTGTTTACATGCTGTTGAGATATCAAATTTGTACAATAAGATGCCTCTAAAGCCTTGTTTAGCTGCACTCCAATCCACCTTAATCCACATATATTGCGGTGGATTGAAGTGAAAAACTTGTTAAATTTTCACCCCCAATAATCCACCTTGTTACATGTAGATTGAGGTGGATTAAAGTGTTTTCCAATTTATAGATCGTTTTGGCTTTTCTAGATACACAACTTTTATTATATATCTAGATATATCGTATATATGTACGTGCATATAAAAAAAATATGTATCTAGAAAAACAAAAACGACCTATAGTTTTGGATAGAGGGTGGTAAAGTCATTGTCAGTAATTAGTTGGTCCGGTGCTCACTGCTGACTGTGTGTGTCGTACGGTGAATAGTACCATGAAGGATGACTAGTCTAACGTTCAACAAGAATGAATAGATGCAGAACTAGACAGATATCTACTCCGGCAATTCACCTGTCTTGTTGTCACCAGCATCGTACAGATCGTTGGTGTTGTTGGTGTAGGAGTAGCCGACGCCGGCTGGCGAGTCCAAGAACAGCACGTTGGCCACTGCAAGCAAACCAATCCATCCATCGCCACTATGACAAATATGGAGTATATAACAAGCTACTACACGCCTTTCTCTTGGATAGACTATAGGCGAGTAGTGCGCGAAGAAAGATTTTTTTTTAAAAAAACATCAAAACTGGACCTTTGTTCCAGGCGTAGGGGTTCAAGGAGAGCGTCTCGCCGTCGGGGTTGACGCGGAAGGCGCCGAGCTCCTCCATAGCGCCGCGTAGCCAATAGAGGAGCACCCGGGCCCGCCATTGAGCCAGAGCACGAGCGGCGCCGAGTCCGCCGGCACGCCGGAGGCTTCCATGAGCAGGTAGAAGAGCGCCTGCCCCGCGGCGGCGTCGACCGTGACGTAGCCGGAGTACATGTAGAAGTTAACCGTCGGCTGGCCCGGCAGCCTGTCGATGCGGTCCAACTCCGCCGCCGCCGTCACGGTGGTGACGGCGGCGGATGACGCGGCACAGCAGCAGGACAGCGCCAGTGTGGCTGCCGCCAGGACAGTTGCGGCCGCCATCATTGGCGTTCTCAGGGGAATATCATCGATCAGTACGTGCTGGACTGGTTGGAGAAGAGCTGCAGAGCAAATATATAGACACAGATAACTTGTACGAGGAGTGGAGGAGGCCTGGAGGGATGGGCTTGGAGCGCCGAGCGAGTGAGCTGAGCCAATTATTGGAGTGGAACGGAGGAAACGTCGAGAGCACGCATGATGGAGTGGTGCGTGGTTGGTTGGGTCTCGTGGCCTACATTATACTCTGCTGTTTCGTTATCTCGGCTCTGAATCACTACCGGATTGAGGAAGTTCGCCGTGTGCACGGCGAACGGCGAAGCCCAAAAAACACTCGGCAAATCATTTACCGAGTGTTACACTCGGCAAACGGCACTCGACGTGCACAGAGTCAGGAAACGTTTCTTTGTCGAGTGTTTTTTATCAGACGCTTGACAAAGACTTTGCCGAGTGTTTTTTGGGCACCGACACTCGGCAAAAAAAAAATCAAAAAATATAAAAAAAAACACCGCCGCCACCCCATGGCTCGCCCCGCCGCCGCCGCGGCCACCCCACGGCTCGTCCCGCTGCTGCTCGCCACCGCCACCACGCAGCTCGCCCCGCCTCTGCTCACCCACCGCCACCGCCACCACGCGGCAAGCCCCGCCGCTGCTCGCCACCGCAACCACGCTGCTCGCCACCGCCACCATGCGGCTCGCCCGCCGCTTCCCGCCCGGCCCGCCGCCGCCGCCGCCACCTTTGCAAAAAAAAAAGAGGGAGAGGGAGGGAGATGGCGGCACCGGGAGAGGGAGGGGAGGGTGGGAGGGAGGGGGCGGCGGCCGGGTGCTTTTATAACGTGCCGAGTTTGCCGAGTGTCAGATCACAGCACTCGGCAAACTAATCTTTGCCGAGTGTCTAGGGTTTAGGGCACTCGGCAAATATATTATTTATTTTTTTAACTAAATATAGCAAACAGATCCACAAATATACCAAATTTTAATATGGAATACCACATGTTGTATGTTTAGAGTAGAAAAAGTTTAGGTCAGAAGAGAAAATAAAATAAAATTATTTGCCGAGTGCCAAATAGTTACAATAGACAAACACATTTCTTTGCCCGAATGCCAGACAATTACACTCGGCAAACATGTTTCTTTGCCGAGTGCCTAGTTTTGCCGAGTGTTTTTTTCTAGTTTACCAAGTGTCGAACTTTACCGAGTGTTTTTTCCATCGTTTGCCGAGTGCATTTATTTTGCCGAGTGTTTTTTCGCAGCACACGGCATAGGGCTGGTTTACCGAGTGCCCGAAGAAATGCATTCGGCAAACATAAAAATACTCGACAAATATAAAAATACTCGGCAAATAGCCGGTTCCCGGTAGTGAATGATTGCCATGATACAGCTCCGCATGCAAATTCGAACGTGCATGAAAGAGAAGGATATAGGAGTAATGGCTAGCTAGGGACGAGGACGAAGATTAGCAACGATTTGCAGCGTCGCGGAGCGGTACGTACGCCCGTCAACGTGATCGAGTGACTGGCCAGCGAGCGTGGGACGGAGCCACCGAGGCACGGACGGAGCTATGGTCATGGTGCGCTGGCGCGCGTCGAGCCATCGGCGAAGAAGTGAGACTCGTCGTGGCAACTGTGCCATTAATTAATGGCATCTTTGGCGACCGAGCTCGATCGGAGCTGGTGGTAGTTTTAATTATTTGTGGTCGACGCACGGCGACACCTCCTCCATGGATCGATCGATCGGAGGAGCAGTGACATCTCATCTGCCATCCCTGAAACTAACCAAGCATATATGCACGCGCAGTAGTGATCTCGGGGCTGTGATGCTCAGCTCGTCGTATCAGATACGGAGTAGGATATGAACGCTAATTGTGCTGGAATCTTAATTATTAGCGAGAACGGTGGCGAGCGTATGGGCACGGCTAGCTAGGCGGCATCGTACGTGCTCGCTCGAGGAGGTGGCTGCACCTCTGGCCGGCAAGATCTATCGGAGGAGAGGTCGACCACCTGAAAAAACGGTTTGTAGCAAAAGTATAAATTTTTTTTGTAGGGATGGCTGGTGATGGAGCCGCTCTTATAGTGGCGTGCTCCGGAGCCTAGAGACCAGCCGCCCCTACAAATGGAACAGCAGGGGCGGCTGGTGATACGAGCCGCCCCTAAAAATATGTCGGATTTGTAGGGGCGACTCACTCACCAACCGCCCCCGGTGTTGCTATTTGTAGAGGCGGCTAGTGATTGAGCCGCCCCTACAAATGCCCACGTATAAATACCTCTGATGTGTTGGGGAGAAAAATATCTCCCTCGTCCTCTCGATCTCAGCCCGAGACGCCGCCTCGGGCTTTTCCCTCGCGTCGCTCTCTCCCGTGGCGTCCGCCGTGCCACCCTCTGCCGTCGCCTCCGCCGCGCGCCGACGTTGACAACGCCGAGCACCGCCTCCGCCTCTCCTCCCCGCGGAGCGGCACCTCGGCCTGGGTGGCCGGCCTCCGGCGCCGACGCCACGCCGACCTAGGGTTTCGGCGTGGAACCGGCCTTGGCCCGGGCTCAGCGGCGCACCGGCGCGGGTGACCTGCTCGAGTTGAACCTCCACTCCAAGGCCACCATCGGGGTGGAGTTCCAGACGCAGAGCATGGACATTGACGGCAAGGAGGTCAAGGCCCAGATCTGGGACACTGCTGGCCAGGAGCGCTTCCGCGCCGTCACCTCCGCCTACGACAACTCCCGCCGCTCCACCTTCGAAAACGTCGGCCGCTGGCTCCTGGAGCTCAACAGTACGTACCCTACCCCGCCTGCCCCACCGCTCCTCTCCTCTCATCCTCTGCTACCTCGATTGTGGCAAGCTGCGGCGGCATGTGAAGGCGGCCTCCTCGATTGTGGCATGAGGTGGGTCTCCGAATTGCCGGCCTCCTCTTCCGCATTGCTGAGATATCTCATGCGAACGACGAGGTCCTCCGCATGGATTTCTTTTTTATTTAAGGCTCCGCATGGATTTGGACACCGCTGGATCCGTGCCTTGCCTCCTCTACTCCTCCTCCGCCACCCCTCTGAACCCCACCTGGTCGTCCGGCCACCCAAACTGCGAATCCACATGGCCCTGCTGCCTGTTGCTTGACGGGGCTCATGGACTCAACTTCGGCAGCGTCGTTGCTGGCGACTTGCGGGAGGAGTTGGTGGGTGATCTCAGGATCAGCGTGTGACCAGAAAGGTTGACCCCCTTCTTCTTCAATGGTTTCTTGGACTCGCTGATGTTCCTTTGGTCGGTTTGCTTTATCTCTGACAAGCCTTTTACCTAAATTTTCTGGTTCTCGGTTCGCTGCAGGGTTGACAAGAGGAGATCTGGGCTTCCTAAACCTGACGAGGATGACGGTGGAATGAAAGAGCTTGTCGGGACCTTTATTCTTCCTTCTCTGTTTAGTCTGCCTGGGTGCATTTACACACAAGCGGCTGGGAATTGCACAATCCTGTAAGCATCTCAAACACGTGTAATCCCATTCTTGAAATCAAATATAGTGCCTTTCTTCTTCAGATGTTAAGATGATTTTACTTTTAGTAAGTTCATTTTAGCAACTTTAGTTAGTCATCATGTCAATGTTCAGTGTTCAGTTAGATAGGATGACCCTTATATATGTTTAACTGAACATTTATCAGTTGGATATTTGTAGGATTGTATGCTATCCTAATATGCATGTGCTATAAGAGGTATTTTAATATATTTGTGTTTTTATTTTCGTATCTCATGCAGAAATTCTGGGGAAGAAGGGAGGTCTTGCATTACCCACTTCCATGCAGGTCAGTAATTTCTATACATTCCTATAGTGGTTTAAGGCAAAGATGATGCAATCTGCCTTACTTTGTATTTCTATTTTTTCTTAGTCTGAGTTTTTTGTGTGCGGCTATGGTATGTTTGACGAAATTATGAAAATTCCCTTTCCATATAAAAATGGTTTGCTCCATATGTAAATATATCTGGCATAGTTAAAGTTCATATGGTTTTGAGGCAGAACAAGGTTGGTTAGTTTACTTGTTTATCTTTAATGCTAATTGATGTGGCCGTAGATGCTATGCTTGGATATGTTCGATCCCTTGATCACAGCATAGTTTACCATCAGTAAGAACCATCAGATGGTTACCTAAAGCTAGATCCCAGCAGAGGATCTGCATAATTTTATTCTGGAGATTGTCATTACTATTTTCTGTATTGCAGGTATGCATGCAGATGCAATCGATTTTCAAATCAAATTGTATAAACCAATCAGTTATCCGATATTATCTGGGAAAAAAATGTGTGCTTCGTTGGCATGCCTTGCTTAGTTGCTATCTGTATGAGATTTCAAATTGTGATAGATAGGTGGGCCTGTTTTAGCTCAGACATATTAGTGCTGGAGTCAATTTTGGTCTTTGCTCCCATCACATGCAAGCTAGCTGTTCCTCCACATACATATGTAATAATTGTCTGTACCCTATGATCTGAAAGGCTGGAGTAGTTGCTAATCAGTTGTTTTCTGTGCGAATTGAAAAGACAAAAGTAGTTCTGAGTACACTTGAATTGTTTTCTTAAATATTACAAAGAAGCTACATGGCCAGGGTTTGTCGAAATGAGATGATAGCGGCCTTTAGTTGTTGTATTAATTTAGAACCAAAATTTTCTTTGTTTTGACCTTTTATAGTGTATTGATTATTAGTTTTGAAATTTCCTCCTCCTATTTTTCTATGTATTGTTCTAATCGGCTGATACTTTCCTGTATCACAGGCTTCCACCTCATATCAAGAGCCAACAGACGTGGTCTTCTGACCACTGATGCTGTGTTCCCTTCAACTGATGGGCCTCCATAGCTTAGCTTGTCTGCGGCGAAATCCACCAGACATGTAAGTAGACAGGAGCTATATAGGGAAATCTTTTGTATATGTGCAATCACCTAAGCCTTTGGCAATGAAGGAACCTCCGGCTAAATAGTCAATTGGATATCTTGGTGAACATGAACATGGCTGCAAACTATGATCTAGTGTGTGTGTGAACTGATCTTCCATTTTCATCCCTAGTGCCCAGCCACTATTTGCTCCAAAAGCCCTTAATGCTTGTTTTTTTCGATATCTTTTGTACTGAAGTACCTCTTATTTTGCAGTTAGTCCAGAGCAGTCGCAATGAGTACCTTAAACTGAAAACAAGGGTGGATAATTTACAGAGGACTCAGAGGCAAGTCTGAAAGGAGTTTTCAGAATTCTCATAAGTCATAACCCTCTGAATTAGATATCAATTTATGGTATCAATTTATGGAGGCTAAATGAAGAAACCATAATGTAATCGCATTGAAGTTAAAAATAAGTTTCTTAATGTGAATGTGTAATGCTTAGCTAAGATGCAGACAATTGATTTTGGCTTTATTCGCAATTACAGGAATTTGCTTGGTGAAGATCTGGGGTCACTTGGTATCAAAGAGCTTGAGCAGCTTGAGAAGCAATAGATGTTTATATACATATTTGCAACGTTCACTTAGGTAGAAATTCTTAGTACCAACACTTTGTGCTCTTGTGCTTGTGGTCAGATTCTGGTTAGATTTGAATTATATATGTGTGTGTGTTTTTCTGGTCGAATTTGAATTATAAATTTATTTATTTTTTACGGAAAAATGTACTGTAGGGGCGGTTCTAGATTGAACCGCATCTACAAATAGGTATTATAGGGGTGGCTGGTACTGTAGCCGCCCCTACAAATTGATTTGTAGAGACGGCTGGTACTGTAGGTCTGTAGCCGCCCCTACAAATCGATTTATAGGGGCGGTCTGGGAACCATCCCTACAAACGCATGATTTGTAGAGACGGTTTGGTAGGGGCGGCTGGCCAAACCGTCCCTACAAATGGTCTTGAGCCGCCCCTACAAATGATATCTGACGTAGCGGGTGTTGCTCCATAGCGTGGCTCACGCGCAGCCACATGCAGCAAGGCGTTGCAATTTCTGGAGGCCACAGCGAGGCAGGAGGGGGGAGTCGGTGGCGAGGTCGAGGAAGATGAACATCCATGTGGTACACTACTCCTTTCGTTCCAAATTATATATAGGCCGCTTTGACTTTTTTTTTAAATAAGGGGTGCACCAACAGAAGTCAGAACTAGAAGGAAACCCTATGAGTAGTGGCGGCATGACCATAGGGCCGGGGTGAAGCCCAGTACGCCCCACAACTTAAGGATGATTAATTGCAGTCCAAGCATGGAAGAACGATAGGCGAAATGGTCTGTTAAGCACGAGGCTACCAAGTGACTGTGCAACCCAACCCCCTCCCCCCCCCTCCCCTATTGTGGTGCTGAGGGGGAAGAACTAACAGACACCAAAAAAGTCAGGGGCATGAGAAGTGACGTCTAACAGAGTAGTATATCCACCCCGGCAAGAGGAAAGATCATGACCGGGCTGATCGTCATTGCTGAGACCGCACCATTCATGATGTGAAGACCATAGGAAAAATGAGCAACACCTACAGTAGTCGGATTTAATGGGGAAATAAGGATTTGGTCATTTGGATGGAGATTGAGAGGATCTAGGGATTTTCAGAGCATGGGAAGGAAGAGGCAACTGTGCGTACCAAGGGAGTAGAGGGTGTGATGGGTCTATCCCTTAGCATCTATCCACCCCATAACCTATATAGCCCCCTAGGTGGAATATGAGCTTGTTATATCTATATCCCAAACTATGATGTTTATCATGCCCCAAGAGGAAAAAGACACAACCCACCCATTATTTCCCTTTCCCACCTCCTATAACCTATTTTCAAAATGCCAACACACGTGTGGGTTGCGGTCCACGAAATTGGCTCTTATCGTTTTTCCATATTTTTCATTTGATTATAGGATATGTGTTTGAAGTTAAGATGTGTACGTGCCGAAAGGTTCCTCCTTGCATGGCGCGCGGTTTACATGTTGTAGGCTCTATTTGGACCCCCACGGTGGTCTAAAGTTTAACCATTAAAATTATATCACTTTAGCTCTTGAGGCTTTAAATATGCAGTTTCAAGTTCTGTCTAAAGTTTAGCCAACCTTAAAAAAGATCATTAGTTCACTAGACCACACAAGTGAGTGAACTGGCTAAAGTTTAGCCCATAGCTTTAACCAACTAAACTATAGATTATGGGATCCAAACAGAACCATAGTCTCATATATAGCCCTACCAAAATCCAGCAAGCAAGCACCGACTAGAAGAGACTCCTTTCTCCTTTTGACTAGTCCACTTGATTTCTATTCTCCTCTAACTTTAAGCGTGTGTTCATTTTTAGGATATAGGGGATGGGACAATTCTTCCTTGTTTTTAGGATATAGGGGATGGAACCATCTTCTGTTTGGTTTAAGGGACTCGAGATGGGACAAGGGTCACCCTTTTCACACCATTAGTCACAGTTAACTTGGGACCATATGAGGCTTGGCTATCGCCTGCTCAAGGAGCTCAACCTTGAGCATGTCAGGGGCTCGGTTGACCTCATCAGCTGTGCTGTTTTTTCATTCGCAAATAATCTCTTCAAGCGTGGAATTATAGGGAAATACCACACAACCTTCTTGGGCGGACTTTTGTTCCGGTCAACTGTCATCGCCTCAGCAGAGTCAGACTTGTAGCGTGAGGTTTCGCACACCGGACACTGATCCAACTCTATATATTTGTTGCGGTACAATATGTAATCATTGTAGAACGCATGAATCTTTTGTACTTCCATCCCTATTGGATAGATCATTTGCTTCGCCTGATATGTGTTATCCGGCAACTCAATTGGCCGTGGAATCATCTTCCTCAATTGAGTTAGCAAATCATCAAATCCTTTGTTGAACAGACCATTCCTGCGCCACACCTCCTTCACCACGCTGCTCGCCCCGCCTCCGACATCGAAGAGGACGAGGTCAGAGTAGGGGCCCTTGTCCATTGTGGGTGAAGCTGGCCCTATTCGGTAGTGAAGGTGCCCAGTGCCAACGGGGAGCAACCGGGGCTGGAGCCTGGAGGAGTGAACTAGCAACACAATTGCTCAGCACTGATGGAGAGTGAATAGGGCTAGGGTGAGCGAGCCGTCTGATGAGACGTGCAAACAGATATCCCAATTTTGAGTTATGAGAACAGCCGACATCTGAGAGGTATTAGGGTTGTTTAGCTTCCTACCGTAGACTGCCACGTCTGAGCTTCAGCCAAGCAGTAAGTGTGGTGCACAAAAACATCACCGCCCTTTAGGCGAGCTATGACATGTCAATGAACTATCGGCACCTAAGTAGGGTGTGGCATGCCGTAACTTCAACTCTGAGCCAAACATTAGCTAAACTCTGACCCATTTAGGTTTCTTAGGACTCAAAGCAAAGAAAACAAAACCCTGAAGGTTTCTTTGTTTCGCTACTACCAGGTATCGGCCGTTGTTTCTCCTACACATCATTCCCAAGTGTACCAAAGCTGCCTAGCCCCGAATTCAGATATGCAAAACATGCCTCGAGTCACTGGGATGCAATGTAACCCCGTGCAAAAAATAAAATATGTGCATGTAAGAGAAACTCCACCATATCCCTTTCCCTTAAAGTTGCTATAGGAGATTGAGAAAACATGAATTCTAATTTTAGGACAAGATTGCCTTAGCAGATTGAGAAAAAACACATTCCCATAAACTTCGTTACATGCGGGACCCACATGTAAGGGATTCATTTTAGCTCTCTCTTCTCTCTCGGTTTCTCACATGCCTCTCTGTCGGGTATCAGTATTAGGGATACCCAGAAGAAGGAATCTAATGGCTGCAAACGCTAACTCCCTCGAATGGTCAAGAGCGTATCTTGGTCTCGCCCGACCCAAAGGGCACGGGCTCCGTCTCGCCCGACCTCAAGGATACGAGATCCGGGTCACCCGACCCCAAGGGCACGGGCTCCGTCTCGCCCGACCCCTCGGGCGATAGCCTTGTCGCGCCCAACCCCGAGGGCGAGAGCCCCATCATGTCTGACCCCGAGGGCGTAGACTCCGCCTCGTCAGACCCCGAGAGCATGGGCTCTACCTCGTCTGACCCCGAGGGCGCAAACTCTGCCTCATCCGACCCTAAGAGTGCGGGCTCCGTCTCGCCTGACCCCGAGGGCGCGGACTCCGCCTCATCCGACCCTTGAGGGCGCGGGCTCCCCCTCACCCAATGGAGGTCCATATCGCCCCCAACCACCATGGATCTGAAAGTACGAGTCTGGGGTCAAACTTCTGACGCCAGAAGGGGAGCAGGTGCGTCTTGACATGACCTACGGCCATGACTATCCATGTCTGAGGACACACGTCGCCAATAGCATCGGGTGTGCCGACGCTGTACTACCTACTCCCTGTACGGCCTTTGGCGGAGACATCAACGAGCCATACCATCTGTTGGGACGGGATGGAGCACCACGACCGGCTGATGATGCCCACGTATGGCGTTAGTGACGAATAGGGCCATGATGTGGAGCCATCCCCATCGTCATCCATAGGGTCAATGGGACCCGCGTGAAGGAGATGGAAGACGCTGCGATCCCGGAAGCCTTCCTCTCCTTGTCTCTTTCTTTCTCTCTCTCTCTCTCTCTGATGTAACCTGCATATTCCCCTTCATCTATAAAAGGAGAAGTAGGGCACCCCACGGAGGGGGTGATTCCAAGACACATCTAACATGTCTGAGCTGTGAAAGGCTTAGGCACTAGGCAGTAGATAGGAAACTCAACCCAACCCACTCTTTTCACCAGGGCCTTGGGACCTTCTCCCTCTTTTCGACTGTTTGTAACCCCTACTACAAACCAAGTGCCGGTAATACGAGCAACAGTAGACTGGACGTAGGGACATTCCGCCAGAACCAGTATAAATCCTTGTGTCCTCCAAGCATAGC